CCCCAAAACCCCAAAACCCCAAAACCCCTTTTATGGTGTTTTAAGTGGAATTTGAGGTATTATAGCCTAGAAGATGACGCATGAGGGGAGGTAGGAGTTTTGGAGGCTCTCTGAGGAGCAGATTATTTGCAGTCTTTTGGTTACATATTGGGTTCTGAGGGATTTGATGGCTTTTTGAACGTTTTTAGAAATTTTTGGAGCATAAGGCTTATTATGAAGAGTAATAGTCAAAGATCTGAGAGTCTTAAGAGGATACAAAATTTCAATAATCTCAAGCATCCCTTCACTATCCGACAACCCTAGACTAACTTTTTCCAACAAACAACTCTTCAAACCCACCAATCCCTCAAACTCCCTCCCAAGACTCTCCCCACTCTCCAAATTTCCAAAATCAATTTCCACTAGTCAACCCCTATTCCCCTCCATTCCTGCTTCTTTCCCCTCCTTCACTTCTTCAGGCCCTCCCTCCAATAACATATCTTTTAAAATCCCTATTTTCTCTGCAGTAATTTTCCCGTTTGATCTGAGGCCAAACTGGGTTGTTCCCAGTGAGTTCCAGCTGAGGGCTTCTTCAAAGGAGTAGGTCGGCCTACAGGATGGGTACTGCTGAGCTAGGTCTTGGGTGAGGGGTTTTGAAGGGTTTAGGGATGTGATGGAATTTTTGAGAATGTGCATGTAGATTTCTTGGTCAGGAAGGGATGTGGGGAAGGACTAAAGGGGTGAGAAAGAGGATTACGGATGTGAGATGTGGGTTACCATGCCTAAACTCCAACTTGATCTTAAGAATCCTGCCTCCTTTCATAGTTTTTGTAGAATAAACAGGGCACCAGGCTTCGGAGGCATCTGTGTTAAGAACATATTTGGTCGTGATGATTCAGGCTGAGCTGCAGCAGCAGAGCTCAGGTGTGGTTGAGGAATAGGTAGAGGGCGAGGCTGGAGAGAGGACTGTGGTTGGCGAGTTTACCTTCAGTAAGCAGTTTTGGAGCGTTATTTTGGTAGCTGGAAGGATGTGACAGGGAAATAGAGTTGGGAATTTGGGGTTAAAATTTTAGGTTGGAATGAGGAATTTTGGGGAATGAAATTTTTAAGAGTTGTTTTAACAGATAGTTGGACTTCATTTTAAAGATAATAATTTCTAAAAACTTTTCTCACCTTCTTTACAATCTTCACCACTGTCTATTTCCAAACTTAATTTCCCTTTTTCACTTCAAAAATATACCAAATTCGAAATCAAATGCCATCTAATTCCATCTAAATATCGATTTAAACCCACTCCAAACGCTAAATTACCCATATTTCTTTGTCGACCTATACCAATAACCCCTAAAACTCACCATCTTGTGCTATCACCACTCTAATTCTCTCCAAATTCCTTCAAGAATTCATCAAACCCACCACCCCATACATCTCAAACCTCCCCTTCATGTCCTGATCCACAATCGCCAGCTCCAAATTCCCTGTCTTAATAACAACAGTCTTCACTACATCCAAGTCAAATCTCCCCAGTTGTTCCAGCCAAGTCAGGTTTACAAATCTGCTAGTTGAGAATACTAGAAGAAGGGAGTCTGATGGAGTGAAATTTTGGGGAAATGGGGAATCTAAGTAGAGAATTTGGAGGTTCGGGTGGAGGTAGTGGGGTTGGAGGGAGGTGTAGAGGGACTTTAGGGGCTGGGTTTGGAAGGTGACTGAGGAAAATTGGACGGATTTTGGAGGGAGTGGCTGGATTAGGGATAGGAAGGATTCTAGGTGAGATTTTTGCGTGAATTTGAGAGAGGGGAGTTTGAAGAGTTTGAGGAGGATTGGGTGGGTTTGGAGGAGGTTTAGGAGGAGTTCAGAGGGGGTTGAGTGGAGATTCTCTTCGGTTGTGAAAACGTATTCTAGGACTTTTTTTCTGTCGGCTAGGAGTTCGTTGGATAGTTCTGACCTGATATTTTGGGTGAATAAATATTTTAAAATGATAGCTCATTGTTGAAGACTTTAAGATCAGAATTTTTTGGAATTCATGAAAAATATTCAAAATTTTGAAATTCTTACTCATAATCTTTCCAAGGAGTTCTAGAAGCCTTATTAAACATGCCTAGAAGGAAATATCAATGGTCTACTGTCTCGCAGTAAAATGGAAGTAGATTGCAGACTATCCCAAATGATTCTAGGAAGGGCAATGGGCGCTTTGATTCCATATTTATTATATTTCCTTCTTAAATATCCAAAGGGGTTTTGGGGTTTTGGGGTTTTGGGG